ACTATTCTAACCTCACATCTGAAATATATGGTGGAGGGAGATATTTCAGCTGTCAGGCAAATAGGTAAACTTACAGGTGTAAAGTTTTTAAGGAACTTTAGATGTATGAGAAAAGGAAGCTTGAGCTGAACCATCTGCTATAAGGGCTATTAATATTGAAGGCTTTTTCACAGACTCTAATGTGAGTTGCTGCAACCTGCTCTCATGTGTGCACATGCCTACAGTTATAAGAAATCAAAAACTGTACCCCAAGATACTTTACAGTGATTTCTGCCCAGATTGCCCTGCTTTTTCTGGCTACCATGATTACAGGAATTGCTGTGACTCTGTCCTTGAGCAGCCTTGTTCACACTTCTGTTTATCCATGTGATTGTGGGTGTGTCACTAGTTGAGAACAAGCTGCAGTTGCTTATCTGGAAAGTGAATATAAATACACTAGGTGTGGCAAAACTGCACATGAAAGCATTGTTAACTTAATACTAAAGCATTGCTTTTAAAATTGTTACTCAAGCTAGAATTTTGGAGCATTTTCTAATTATTTTAGTATTATCTTGTTCAGTGTGCCACCAGGACATAAATATTGTCATTTGCGGGTACTGAAACTACTACAATAAAATGCAGCCTTCTGTTTCCTGGAAGTGATATGCTGAAGCAACATCATACCAAATCAACACAGCTTTTTACAATACTTGGCCAGAAATCTATTCTGTTCTGCACACTTGCTGCTGAGATGGCATGGCTATCTATGGGTAATATCTATAGAATGGCTAAGTATCTCCTCCAGCAATTGAAGTGCCAAGCTGACGGAATTCCTATGTGCTTTGGAGTGACCGCTGTGGTGCCACTCCTGCTGTCCTGCTAATTGATTTGGCTCTACAGTGATGTACAGAAAGCTCCTTTTAACTTGCAGGTGCTTGCAAATATCATTCAGTTCAAGTATCACTTATAAAAGCAATATGGCTACTGTGCAAAGGTGGCCTCTAGTCCAAGCAGGCAGGAGAATCCTGACCTAATGTTCCGAAAAAAATTCAGAAAGGGTTATGTGATACTTAAAATTACCCAAATACAAGAGCAGGTGATCCTTAAAACATCAAACAAACTATGAGCTTTCATGGGTCAAGTCTACTTCCTCAGGCCAGTTTTGCTTTTATATTGGAAATGGTATCCTGAAATGAAAATGCTACTATTAATATCGCTAGTGATCGGTCAGCTGGCTGGATAGCATAATAAATTAGGTAATTAGGTAAATTAGAGATTTAGGGTTTGATTCTCCACTTTGCCTCTCAAGATAAGAGCCAGCCCGAATTGTCTTGGGCAAGCAGCATAGCCCCAAAACACCCCCAGAAGGAGGGAATGGTAACTTACTGCTGCTTACTTTATACATAAAAAAACTCTGGAAATAGTTGCTGCAACTCAGAATGGACTTGACATACAATAGCAATGGTTGGTCCAAGTCCTGGTTACATGGACATCTTATTAATCTGAATTTCAGGAATTTGCACTGAGATTAGAGTTAGATCAAGGAAAATAACTTTTTGGCTGTGGTTATACCAGAATATTAATGTATGTACTAAGAATCCTTGTTTCTTTTTTAATCCTTTTGATATACACTGGAATCTGAATATAGCCCTCTTCAGCTGTCTCTGCTGGATCTTCCATTTTTAAATTCCCTTTCCCCCAAGAGTTACATTGAGATTTATATCAGAGTATCCTGGATGGTTGAAGTGATCTGAAACTGGCTTCTGTGTCTTGCTCTTTCTTATGTTTCTGTCCATTTCTTCTTTCGCATAGAGATTGTCCTGTTGCATTAACTAAATCACAGACGAGCACTTCTGGCACAGAATGGCATAGACTACATTAGCAGAACAAGTAAATGAGACTGTGATATTAATGATTGTTGTTAGAGCTCATTATGAGGCTGCCACAGTAGATGTGGGAACACAGTTAACATCTGAACTCATGGCAGGATCTTGTTCCACTTTCCATAAGAACATAAGAAGATCCGGCCAAGGGCCCATCTAGTCCAGCTTCCTGTATCTCATAGTGGCCCCACCAGATGCCTCTGGGAGCACACGAGACAACAAGATACCTGTCTCCTGATGCCACACACTGCATCTGGCATTTTGAAATACCTTTTGGGCCTGGAGATTATACAGCCCCATCATGTCACCTGCGGTGGACTTTTCCTCCAGGAATCTGTCCAGTCCCGTTTTAAAGGCATCTAGGCCAAATGCGATCACCACATCTTGTGGCAAGGAGTTCCACAGACTAACAACACGCTGGGTAAAGAAACATTTTCTTTTGTCTGTTCTCACTCTCCCAACACTCAGTTGGAGTGGATGTCTCCTCGTTTTGGTATTGCATGAGAGGGAAAAGATCTTCCCGCTATCCACTTTATCCATCTCCTGCATAATTTTATATGTCTCAAGCATGTCCCCCCTCAGGCACCTTTTCTCTAGACCACTGGTTCTTAACCTTTGCTACTCGGATGCTTTTGAACTGCAGCTCCCAGAAACCCCAGTCAGGACAGCTGGTGGTGAAGGCTTCTGGGAGTTGCAGTCCAAAACTCCTGAGTAACCCAAGGTTAAGAACCAGTGCTCTAGACTAAAGAACCCCAAACACCTCCTGATAAGGGAGGTATTCCAGCCCATTCATCATTTTAGTCACTCTCTTCTGCACCTTTTCTAGTTCGACTATGTCTTTTTTGAGGTACAGCGACCAGAACTGTACACAATACTCCAGGTGGGGCCTTACCAGCATTTTGTACAATGGCATTATAATGTTGGCTGTTTTATTTTCAACCCCCTTTTTAATGATACCTACCATGGAATTGGCCTTCTTCACTGTAGCCGCACACTGGGTTGACACTTTCATTGAGCTGTCCACCAGCACACCAAGATCTCTTTCCTGATCTGTCACGGACAGCTCAGAACCCACTAACTGATAAAGTTTTGATTTTTTGCCCCAATGTGCATTACTTTACATTTTCTTATATTGAAACACATTTGTCATTTTGCCACCCATTCTCCCAGTTTGGAGAAATCCTTCTGGAGCTTTTCACAATCCCTTCTGGTCTTCACCATCCAGAAAAATTTTGTGTCATCTGCAAACTTGGCCGCCTCACTGCTTATCCCTGTCTCCAGGTCATTGATGAACAGGTTGAAAACCAACGGTTCCAGGCCAAATCCCTGGGGCACACCGCTTTTCACCTCTCTCCATTGTGAAAATTGCCCATTGACACCTACTCTCAGTTTCTTGGTTCTCAACCAATTCTCAGTCCATAAGAGGACCTGTCCTCTTATCCCCTGACTCTGGAGTTTTCTCAGCAGCTTTTGGCGAGGGACCATGTCAAATGCTTTCTGAAAATCCAGATAGATAATATTTTATTTTATTTATTTATTTATTGGACTTATATACCGCCCCATAGCACTACAAGCACTCTCCGGGCGGTTTACAATTTTTAATTATACAGGCTACACATTGCCCCCCCAGCAAGCTGGGTACTCATTTTACCGACCTCGGAAGGATGGAAGGCTGAGTCAACCTTGAGCCGGCTACCTGGGATTTGAACCCCAGGTCGTGAGCACAGTTTTAGCTGCAGTACAGCGTTTTAACCACTGCGCCACGAGGTTCACCCGCATCCACTGGTTCACCCGCATCCACATTTGTGTTGACCTTTTCAAAGAATTCTAAAAGGTTTGTGAGGCAAGACTGACCCAAGAGCCCATGATGAATTTCCCTCATCAAGGCTTGTTATTCTCTCTGTGTTAATATTTTATCTTGGATTAGGCTGTCCACCATCTTCCCTGGAACAGATATTAGGCTAACCTGCCTGTAGTTTCCTAGGTCCCCCTTCCTTCCCTTTTTAAAGATTGACATGACATGTGCTATCCTCCAGTTCTCTGGCACTGTGGCCGTTTTAAGGGACAAGTTGTATATCTTAGTTAAGAGATCAGCAACTTAGGGTTGAAAAGATGTTGTGCTGTAGTGGTTCTACACTTTACTTTAGTGGTGATACATGCTTGCAGAGGTACATATGCAAGAACTCAAAAATATTCTAAACTCCCTATGCATTTTCACATCAGTACGTAGCTTGAAAGGCTAATTGTTTTGTATAAAATCGATTTTGGTATGGGAATTTTGAGAAATTCTTTGTCTTTATACCAAATTCTTTGTCTTCATACCACATGAAGCAAATTATATTGTATCAGCTTTGTATAAACAGTAGTTGATTGTAACAGTTACTGGACCAGAGTAATAGAGTTCCATTCAAATACATTGTGATGGTGGTAAAATTTTGCAGATAAATTTCTTATGTATAACACATCAATATATTTGAATAGAAAAAATTTAATCCCGCCCTCTAAACAGCGGTGGTGGATGTCATCCAAACTGTGCTGCATAAAGGTATATAACAGGATGCTGGCCATTGGTTTACAAATTTTACAAGAGGTATAAACCAGTCTCTTTACATTTACTACCCAGAGCTTATTCCTGTCCCTGAAGTTTATGTGTTTCATGCTTCTTGAGCCATGCAGATGTTAGACATATGTTTAGCAATTTTGTCTTTCTATCTGAAACATGGAAAAGGTTATACAGCATTTAAAATAAACCTTTAGTACTTTATTAACAAGACTTGCTTAGTAGTTTATATCTAATATTGATTTTGTCAGATATTGACAGCATTAAAGAGAGAGGCTGAGAGGCTTCATAACGTACACCCTCCAGGCTTGCTAAAACAAAACAGTGATCACTGGTATGTTTCTTGAGGATGTCAGCTTTCTGCAACTTGATGTTAATGCAGCAGTTGTTAACAGCTTATGTTAAAACATCCGGAACGTAGCACCTGTCATTATGCACATGTCCTTGTTTAGATTTTCTGGAATAATTTTAAACATATGTAAAGTTTAAAAAATGTATGATGGTGTTAGAAGTAGAAAGAACTAAACTTGCCTGCATTATATGGTGCTTCAGAATTCTAATTATGGTTTTTTTAAAAGGTTACATGCAAAAAATCCAGCACCATACAACCTACAGCACAATTATCTAAGATCAAAGTACCTCCTGCACAAGCTGTTGTGAAGAAAGAAAAACGACAAAGTTCTTCAAGATTCAGCATTAGCAATAACAGAGAGCTCCAGAAGCTGCCAGCATTAAAAGGTATTTGCTATATTTCTTTCAGTGATCCTTCATAGCATGTTGATAATGCAGAAGTGGACCATGTCTTGCAATTGTAACTTGTGTTTTGGATTACTGATTTGCAATGCACACCAGAGCTTTTAACCCTTCACACTCAAGTGACCTTCCCAAAAATTCAAGACTGACCTGTCAAGTTGTGCATAAGCTTGGCGGTGTATAAGCTTATTTATTTTATTTTATTGGACTTCTACCCCGCCCATCTAGACCAAAGGTCTACTCTGGGCAGCATTACAAATTTAAAAACAGTTAAATCAATAAATATATACTATAAATCCAAGATGGCAAAATGTGAATTTAAGATATGGCAGGATGGAAAGCCTGCCCAAATAGCCAGGTCTTGACTTTTATTCTGAACACACCCAGAGGTGTGTTTATTCTGAACACACCCAGAAGTAAAGGTTACTTGCGATCCTGACAGCTATCTGGTTATCTTCTGTCGGGTTCCGCCTCCATATGCACTCTAGCCTTCTCCTATTTCGCTTCATTGATCACAGCTCCTGGTTGAACCAGTGTGCAGGGTGATCTCTGCGCTGGAGAGGGCGTCTAGGTTTGATCGTGTCAACAGCCCTGGAGGCAGCAGCAAGCCAGCTATCAACCAGAGCTTCGACAGGAGCGCCAGTCAAATCGGCCAGAATCCCTCTCATGGTATCCTGAAATCCTATAGGATCCAGTAATCTTCAAGGATGAGCTAAAACAGGTCTTCGCTCCCTGTGGGGAGGAAGAGCCATTGTAAGGTTGCATTTAATCAGGTGGTGATCCAACCATGATAAGGGGACAGACACTAGGTCAGTCACCATCGGACCACATTCACTCTGCTCGGTGGAAAACACCAGGTCCAGTGTATGGGTACCCACATGGGTGGGGCCGTTGACATGTTGGGACATGTCCAAGGAGGTCATAGTCTCCAAGAACTCAAGAGCTGGACCGGAAACCTCCACATGTATGTTGAAGTCACCCAAGACCAGAAGCCTTGGGGACCCCAACAGTGCTGCAGAGATGAAGTCTGCCACCTCCGCCAACAGTGCTGCGGAGATGAAGTCTGCCACCTCCAATAAGGAAATGGCTGGGTCGCAGGGAGCACAGTAACCCAGCAAGATCCCTCGCTCCCTGCAGGGAGGAAGAGCCATCTCTGGTCCCAATCGACACGTGGAAGACCTCTAGACCCGTCGTAGTCACAGCAAAGCACCTAACAACTTCCAGGGTGTTCTTGTACACAATGGCTACTCCCCTCCCTGCCCCTCCAGTCTACCCTGGTGTTGGACTGCATAACCAGGAGGACAGGCAAGAGTCAGGGGACACCCCATTCTCTGCCCATCCATGTTTCAGTTATGCATGCCAGATCTGCATCCTCTTCCAGAATCAGGTCTCATATAATCTGGGATTCATTTGATACAGATGTGGCATTCAACAGCACCAGGTTTAGACTGGAGGGCTGGCTGAGTTGACTACCTCAAGTCTGGCAGGAGGTCGCAGTGCCAGAATGGTGAACAGATTTCAAGCATCTGTTCACCGTTCTTCTGGAACGAATGGCTACTGCACCTACACCATGCCTCCCTCTGCCAGAAATCACCCTGATGTTGGAAAGACCTCCTCTGGGGTAGCCAGTCCGCCATAGCACATGCCCCTTACTTCAGGACACATGCAGAAGATTATATTCCCAAACACTTGTGATAAGATTGTGCTTTAGTAATGTCAAGACATAATTTAGCTTAAACTTCCTTTTTTCACACTCTCAATTCAGAACACAAGATTACATTTTTTCTCCTTAGAGAGTGAGATAAATTCTTGTCTTACTAGCTCAATGATTTTTGTGCAAACGCAATTGCAATAGCTGTTACCTTGTTGTGTGGACTTGTAAGAGTAGTTAGATACACCAGATGGGTATTTCCTTCTTAACAGTCAGCCAGTCCTGTGCTTACTGTATGCATAGAGTAGTTAGATACACCAGATGGGTATTTGCTTCTTAACAGTCAGCCAGTCCTTCTGTGCTTACTGTGTGCAAGCCCTGCTTAAAGGGAAAGGACAGTAGTTTTGGGTAGATTGTAGCAGAAACATTTTGCACAATTTGCAGTGCTTGAAAGTGCTGATCTCCAGCTGGAAGCAAAAAGTCTTGAAGGACTTCGAAAATTATCATGGAAGTGTCTTGCTGTGTTGAGATGGCCTAAACCTAACAAATGAGAATGAGGAAATTAATGAGTATCTTCACATCCAAAGATTAAGATTGTCTGATAGTTTAGTATAGCATAGTGGGATGTTTTGGCACAGAAATTTGAACAGATTCCTACACCACATACTGGCTGAGATCCAGGGAGGTATTGCATATACTGTACACTCACTTTTTACTGCCAGCTATGGAAGGCAAAGAACTATTAATACATGTCATTTCATAATCTGACAGTGGTAATATCCCAGTTATGGTTTAATGATAATTATATGTTTTGGAAGAGAGATAGGCAGCTTGGTGCCCTCCAGTGTTTTGTACTTTGACTCGCCTAAGTCCAAAACATTAGAAGTGTGGCCAGGACTTGTGGAATCTGTGTTCTGAGACCACTAGTGTTCCTACCTAGTTTATAATATGCAAGGTCGTTCTTAAATATGGCAGAGCCTTACTTGACAGTTAAAGTTTTATAATATGTTCATGTTGTATCTATGATTTTCGAAATACTGGCTTGGTCTTTGGATCTATTTTATGTTTCTTTTTTTTGCTTAGCAATATAAACAAAACCCATGTTAACTTACTAAGCACAATATCCTACAAGAAATTGCTTTTATACTCATAATCTCTTCATGCATATTAAAAAAACAGTCATGTATACAGTATAAAAGTTTATAATATCCAAACTACATAGGGAAGTCAGGAAAATTTCTCAGGCTAATATATGTTTATTATGTACACAATTCCTATATTGATAAATACATATCCTCTGGGAAGTCTAGAAAATCATTCATGAGAAATGCTAAGTACATTCATAGAGGTGCTTAATTCATATCTTGTTTTGCTTGAAGTTTCCTTGAGAGTTTTTATTTTTTTAAATTATCACTACTTTTCTTCAGAATACAGTGGTGCCTCACTTAGCAATTGCTTCGTTTAACGGTGTATTCGCTTAGCGATGGGTTTTTTGAAGAATTTTCCGCACCGTTTAAAGATGTTCTCTATGGGCGATTTTCGCTTAGCGATTTCCGCTTAGCGATTTCAGGACCATGCTTCGCATAACGATTGCATTTTGGGTCCCCTGTTTCACTTAACGATGTCCATTTTCGCTATTTTAAGTGTGTCTTAAAATGTTCAAAAACTGTTTTAAATGCTTGGAATCGTTAGTGTACCTTGTAAAACCTTTGCAAACTTAATTTGGCTTTGTTCTGACTCTTCGTTAATTTTTGGTGAATTTTTTCCCCCTCATTGAAGTGCATTGAATAGATTTCATTGCATTTCAGTGGTTTTGACAGGTCCGTTTTTGCTATTTTTAAAGTGTCTTAAAATGTTTGAAACTGTTTTAAATGCTTGGAATCGTTAGTGCACCTTGTAAAACCTTTGCAGAATTAATTTGGCTTTGTTCTGACTCTTCGTTAATTTTTGGTGAATTCTCCCCCCCATTGGAATGCATTGAACTGTCAAACCTATTCAATGCATTCCAATGGGGGAAGAATTCACCCTTTTTTAAACCTAAGTACACCTTAGTTCAAAAGAAGAAAAAAATTAAAAAATTGCCCTCTGGTGGTAGAGTACGGATTGCAGTGCATTCCAATGGGGGGAAAATTCACCCTTTTTTAAACCTAAGTTCACCTTAGTTCAAAAGAAGAAAAAAATTAAAAAATTGCCCTCTGGTGGTAGAGTACGGATTGACCAGCTTTACATTAGTTCCTATGGGAACTAATGCCTCTACCTATGAACAGCGCTTCAATGTACAAACGAAAAACAGCAGATACGGATTAAATGGTTTTCAATGCATTCCACTGGGAAAGTTTGCCTTGACTTACAAACTTTAAAACGTACGAACTTAATTCCAATATGGATTACGTTCGTAAGTCGAGGTACCACGGTATTGTATGTTTGGGTTATGTTGAATTTAAGTTTTAGTCTATTTTTGTTAGCTTGGTGGAAGGAGGGGTTCCATACGGGGCCTGTTAGGTGGATAAACCTTGAACTCAAATGGGTAAAAGAATAAGACTAGCTACTTTAAATGTGAAAGGCCTGGGATCAACAGTGAAAAGAAGAATAGAAGCATTATTGAAGAAAAATAAGGTGGACATTGCCTTTCTGCAAGAGACTCATCAGTCAGACGATGGAGTCAGTGAACTAAGGATGAATAATATAGATATTTATGGAAGAAAATTGGGAACGTCTAAATCTAGAGGTGTGGCAATTATAATTTTTAAAAATTGTGTATTTATACTGAAACAGGTAGTAAAAGATTGTAATGGAAGATTTATAATAATACAGGGTAAAATGGATTTGGAAGAATATACTTTGGTTAATGTGTATGCACTTAATAATAAACAAGGAGATTTTTACAATACGGTTATTAAAGTAATGGAGAAAGTAAAGAAGGGTTATGTTATTATGGCAGGAGATTTTAATATGGTTATGGATAAGATAAAGGATAAAACTTGTTATGATCGGAATGATGTTCTTCAAAGAAACACAATATTGAGCAAAAAGGTAAAAATAATTGAAGGATATTTGGAGGATAATGAAAGGTGATGAAAGAAGATATACTTTTCAGCAGTATATAATAGTTACTCTAGAATAGATGTTATATTCACATCTGAAGGTTTCTAGGATAGTTAGTACTGAGATTAATTCTGTAAAAATAACAGATTATGCTTTGATGTCAATGGAGATTGAGATTTAAAAAGATTATAAAGACTCTAAAAGGTGGAGAATGGATATTAATATTTCCCAGTACCCAGAGGTGATAGAAAAGAGAAAGAAAAAATGGTTAGATTATGGACAATAAATG